TTCCCACTTGGCTTTACTCTGCTAAGCCATTGGTCAAAACAGCTTTATTCATCAACCAATGAAAGCAACCCCGAAGGACATCTCACATCAGTAGTCAAGGACGACAGGATAACCTTGAGCTTCTGATCCTCCTACCTTCACCCCCTGAGATTATAGGCAAATGTCACCATACTCTCCACGTTGCTACAGATGGAGCCCAGGGCTTCAACTATGACAGACAAGAAGCACTCTACCATCATCTACGGACATCCCCAGTCCCTTCAATACAGTTTTTACTTAGGATATTTTCAGCTTACGATGAGTTTACTGGGACATAAACAATCATACATCAAGGAGCCATCTATTGCCCAGGTCGTATGAATGATTTAAATGGGAGTGGAACCTGAGAAGAAACACTGGATTCTGGACCTGTCCCTAGAAAGACTCAAAGCAGTATTTTACATCGGCTTTCCAACTCCGAGTTACACAATGAAAAACATGGAGCCCAATGCTCAGCTTGTTTCAGCTAGAACTCTTTCTCCATGTCTTGTCCTTACCATGAATTCATGTAAATTCAGCCTCTCGCCATTGTTATCCTGTAGAACAGCTTTAAAATACCAAATATTTCTTCCTCTTACAGTTAACCCAACACACATTGCTTTCTGGTTTGGCTGATTCCAACTGCCTGGAGTTTAAGTTCCTCGAACGTAGATTGTGGAATTCACAGTCACGCTCTTGCTGTCCAGAGCGGTCCTCTTGACCTCTGGTGAGCACTCAGTGAATTGTTGCTTTATCCAAAATGCGTTTTTGGGGATGGCTTCCATTCATCTCAGAGTGCTTCCTCTGGGAGGAGCATCCTTCTATCAGCCTGCCTTTGCCTCCTGTGGGCTGTCTGGGGGACAGTGGAGCAGACAACACACAGGAAACCTGGGTTGGTGGGAAGGACACTAATGCATATGCAATGTAACAGTAGAAGAAAACACTGGGTGGAAGGGTTTAAGAGGAGATGGGGGACACAGCCAAGGGTAGAGGAGGGGAAGGGAAGATCAACCCAAATGAATATGTATGAAAATGCCATAAGGAAACCCACTTTATAAGCTAACTAAAACAACAAAACCATAAACATACACCCCGAGTTGCTCAAGACCACTGAGGGTCAGCTTGGTGGTTTGTTTGTTTTGTTTTTGAGACAAGGTCTCACTAGCTTTGGCTAACCTAGAACTCAAAATACAGACCATGCTGGCCTCTAACTCACAGAGACTTGTTTGCCTCTGCCTCATAAATGCTGGGATTAAAGGGGAGCACCACCACTCCAGACCATGGTGGTTTTATAGCATTTTGAAGGTAGGAACTGGGGCTCTGTACCAGGTCCCTTTTGGGTCTCCTCATCTGGAGACGGGTGAGGATCCTTTGGGAGGGGTCTCTTTTCATAGGGAGGTGTCACCACCAGAAAAGAGCAAATATCTGCTTAGTGACTGAGGAGGCAAAAGAACAAACTTATTTGTTTTTGAGCTGGGGTCTTGCTATAGAACCCTGACTTGTCTGAAATTCACTATGTAGACCAGGCTGGCCTTGAACTTCCAGCCTGGTCTTGCTTCTGCCTTCCAAGTGCTGGAATTGCAGGTGAGAAATGCCATACGTAGCTCAGGACAAATACTTTTTATTTTGCCTCCAACACCCAGTCAAGGATAGAAATTTTGATGCAGGCTCATGATGCCGAATTCTGATTTCTGTGGTTCGTGTTTTTGAATTATTTGTTATATCATTTATTCTCACAGCTAGTTCTCCCAGAAGGCTGTGTGTGTGGAGTGGGTGGAAAATGAATAAGAGTGAAGAAAATGCAGCAGGGTCGATGGCTTCGGTGTTGGCAGTAACGACTAATATTACATTTTGGTGAAATTTTTTTTTTTTTTTGATTTTTTGAGACAGGGTTTCTCCGTAGCTTTTTGGTTCCTGTCCTGGAACTAGCTCTTGTAGACCAGGCTGGCCTCGAACTCACAGAGATCCGCCTGCCTCTGCCTCCCGAGTGCTGGGATTAAAGGCGTGCGCCACCACCGCCCGGCTTTGGTGAAAATTTTGAATTGCAATTTCTTCAGAATTTTTGTTTTGTTTTTTGGGACAGGGTTTCTCTATGTAACAGTTCTGGCTGTCCTGGAACTCACTTTGTAGACCAGGCTAGCCTCAAATTCAGAAATCCATCTGTCTTTGTCTCCCAAGTGCTGGGATCAAAGGCATGCGCCCCCAACACCCGGTTTCTTCAGAAGGTTTTACATTTGGGTTCCAAAATAGCTCCGTGGCCAAAGTGTTATTGTCTTTTTCAGATGGATAAACTGCTGAAAAGAGTCTCTCCCAGTGTCACTAAAAGTGTGTAAAATAGCCCTGACCTAAGCCCAGGTCTCATCATGTCAAAGTCCATCCTTATTCCATGGCTTCTGCAACAGGTCACTTCCCAAACCTCCAGACTTCAGTCTCACCTTCTAGGCCCCTGGATGACCTCTTAGTCACCTCCAAATTTAAATCCTATGATTTTATGAGATTTTTCTTTATTGTTTATTTAAATATTTGCTGTCACTTCATATTGCTATCACTACTAAAGTGGTATGTTTGTTTGTTTGCTTGCTTGCCTGTTTTGAGATAAGGTTTCACTGTGTAGTCCTGGGTGACCTTAAACTCCTGCCTCTACCTGCTGAGTCCTGGGATGGTTTGTAAGGTGCTAGGAATCGAGCCTTGGGGCTTTGTCCATGCTCAGTATTTTTTTTTCTTTGAGAAAGGGTTTCTCTGTAACTTTGAAGCCTGTCCTGGAACTAGTTCTTGTAGACCAGGCTGGCCTCAGACTCACAGAAATCTGCCTATCTCTGACTCCTGAGTGCTGGGATTAAAGGCGTGCGCCACCACTGCCGGCTTGGTATTATTTTTTCTTAATGAGTGGCATTAAGTGAAGAGATTTTCCTCTGAATTTACTTGGGGGAAAAAAGGAAATGAAAGGAATAGAGCAACTTTTCTGTATTTGAAGCTATGTGGAGCAAAATAAAAATGAATCTGTGGGGTTGGAGAGATGGCTTGGTGGTTAAGAGCTTGCATGACTGTTGCAGAGTACCTGAGTTTGGTCCCCAGCACCCATCTCAGGCAGTTCACAACTTCCTACAGCTCCAGAGAAATCCAGTACCTTCTTCTAGACGCTTCAGGCACCTATACACACATGCCTATACACACACACAGACACACACATATCCATATAGTTAAAAAGTAATAAAAATAAATCTTAAAGTTGGAGCTGGAGAGATGTCTCAATGGTTAAGATCACCTGTTACTCTTGTAGAGGATTATGGTGGTTCAAGTTCCAGCACCCACACAGTGGCTCACAACCATCAGTAACTCCAGTTCAAAGGGATCCAATACCCTCCTTTGGCCTCCAAAGATACCAGGTACACAAAGTGGTGAGCAGACATACATGCAAGTAAAACACTCATACACATAAAATAAAATTAAATATAAATTTTAAAAATATATAAATTTGCAAATAAACAAGCAAGTCTGGGCTATTGAGATAGCTCCGTGGGTAGTGACACCTGCTTTGAACATGATGACCCGAGCCTATACTCAGAGCCCACACTATGGAAGGAGACCTCTGAATGCTGTCCTCTGACATGTGCTCTTACACAGTCACTGAAAAGAACAAAATGAAATAACAATCTAAAATCAAACAAACAACCTGATCATGGAGTCCGTAGTACCAGAGGCGAAGGCTGTATTGTGAGAACCACATATGAAATATTGGGTAACCAAGTAACTAAAAGCACCTTTCCAAAAACGCAAGCCGAGGCCTGTTCCTCTGCTTATTAGTTCCTTTCCCATAGAAAACATGTGTGCTATTCATACAACTTTGCATAAATAAAATCACTGTGTTGCTGTTGCACAACAGACCGAGTAAACAGAGTTTCTCATTCACAGGACTCTTTTGTCTCAGACTTTTATTTGTGGCCATTTAGATGTCAGCTACTTTTTTTTTTTAAATGACAAATGAAAGAACTTTACACAGAATAAAAATTAGTATTTGTGTATCTTTTTCTGAATTTTATTTTGCTAAAAAGAATCTACACAAACCCCCCTCCCCCAAAAAAGAAAGAAAAAAAGAAGAGAAAGAAAAACATGCAAAATAGTTTTGTGCACACCTCTAACATGTTATATTCCACCTCAAAAAACTTACCAAAAAGAAAGGAAGAACACCCAAAGCAAGAGTCCTTGGGTTGAGACGTTCACATTGCAAAGACTAGATTGGTAACACAAACACTGCCAATACAAGTCATTCTACTGCAAAAGGAGAGTGTGTGTGAGTACATTAGATTAATGCCAACAATAAGAAGACAAGACAAAGTGTACTCCTCCTGCGAGCCAGTAAAAACCGTCTGCTGTCTCGGGAAAGCCTTGGTGTTAACCTGAACGCCATACAGCCTTAACCTTAACACTGTGCAGGCTCATCCAGTGTACCATTCTCGAAGCTAGCTCCTTGCCCACCACCTTTAAATTGGTTTTTGGCAGTGTTGGGAAGCGAAGCTAGAGCATCCCGAGTACTAGGAAAATTCCGATTACATCTAACCCCTAAAATGTTTTGGTTTTGAAAAATAAGAGTCCTTCAAAAATATACATGAACTATTAAATATTTTTAAAACAACTATTTAATATAGAATGATAGTGATGCTTTCCTTTGGGGTATTTTACTTTTCTTCTTAAAGATCCTACAGAAAATGATAAATTACAGAAGAACAGTGTCTGTGCACATGTATAAAAAAAATCTTTAAAAAGAGATTTGGAAAACACAATGTTAGGAATTTTTATTTCCCTTCCTCAAGACTAGTTTCAGACCATTTAATAGATACTTTTTTTGAGCTGGGCAGTAGTGGTGCACACCTTTAATCCCAGCACTTGGAGGCAGAGGCAGGGGGATCTCTGTGAATTTGGGGCCAGCCTGGTCTACAAAAGCTAATTCCAGGACAGCTAGAACTGTTATACAGAGAAACCCTGTCTCAAAAAAAAAAAAAAAAAAAAAAAACTAAGATACTAAGATACTTTTTCAAAAAAAAAAAAAATCAGCTGCTTTAGAACCTTTCTGTTTGGTCAGCAAGCTCCTTGTCCCTGTGTAGTTGTACTTTCCAAACATATCAGACTGTGCACAAGGTACTGTTCTGTATCTCTGAACAAATCTCCAGGCTGTCCCAGCCGAATTTACCCAGCCTGAGGCTTTGAGTCAAAAGTAAAGAAGAGCCACTTGGTAGGAGCCCAGTTCTAACCGTCCTCCATGCTGCCCGGAGGGGACTGGTGATTCCAGACTTAGAAAAACCATGGGCTATCTAGGCCAGTCTCCTAAAAGCCTTAGTCCTCAAAAGAAAGAAGAGTTTGAATGCAGTCTCATAAAGCATTTCAAATGTGCAAAGAGAAAAATCCCAAACAGGAGTAAAGAGAGTGGGGCAGTGAGCCTGTAGAGTGCCGGAACACTGTGCTCCAGTGAGGAACACACGTACACACACAGCCTGCGTCAATGTCGTTTCCAATGAACCTCCTTCCTAACAGCACTTCCTAGAAAGAAAAGTGACTGTACCATCTCCAACCCAGAAAGGAGCCACTTTCTCTACTTCTATCTAGCCCTACGTATCTGTAAAGGACTCTGAAGGCCAGGTCTAGTTCAATGCTATTTCCAAAATACCGGCCCAAAAGGCAAGTGTATCTTTTCCCCTCCTTGCAGCAGTCAGCGCGATTATGCAATTGGTGTGCTGTATTTGAAGAGCACGGTGCAGCCCTGAAGGTGGGCATCCCGCAGCCCATGCTGAGGTAGGCAGAAAGCAAGCTACTCTTCCGGAGCACAGCTGGCCATGAGAGCATGCTCTGCCACCCTGTGTTTGGCGCCATCTCTCTTTTCTTTCCGCTAAGCTTGTTTGAGGATAGAGCTGTGGAAGATGTATTTTACCCCCACTCACAACATGAGCAGTCATGGGTGGGGATGAAATACATGCATGGGACATTCATGCTCAGGACCCTCTTCAAGCCAAACAGAGGCTAAACCCTACCCAGAGTCCTTTGCAAACCTCTTCTGACACACTGTAAAGCAAAACTGGAAAACCCACGTTCACTTCCCCATGACAATTCAGAAGGAGCAAAGCTTCACAGGGACGTTAGATGTTTCAGACTGAAGGGGGGGAGGGGGATGCAAAGAGAGTCCATCTTTTCTCGCTTGCCTGTGGCATGAGCCAAAGACCTTTCCGGAACCTCTTCATTTTCCCAGTGGTGGCCCAATATCGCTTCAGGTTTCTGGGCTTCCCGTACGTGTTTCAGTTTCTTCGACATCTGAAGTCTGATGCGCAGAGGAAGCTCTGTGGTGCTGAAGGAACGACTCTTCCTTTTTTGGTGAGGAAGGCCCAATGGGTCTCAGCTAAGGAGCGCTCAGTGCCGGCTCTAAAAATAACCCCACAGCAAATACTGTTTGGCACATCCTTGTGTTTGCCAAGGAGCCCTGCAGAACTCCGCGGCGTGTTTTGGATTCTCCGTAACTGCCCTGAGCTCTTCCCTGCACTGATGACAGCGATGGCTGGGGAGGTGTATCATTTTTGAACATTGCTTTTTTTTGTTTTTCAGTTTTGATTCCTTGGAATCCTTTCCCAAAAGGCTGAAGTGCGGTTCCAGCTGAGGATTAGTTACTACCTGGTTTTAGAATCTTCTTTTGGCTTCTGGTCTGAACTACGTAAATACACAATCTGTGTGTACCAGAAAAGACTAAAATTAGACTTCAAAAGGCTCAATCATTCCTCTCGTTCCCCTTTCCCCCCAGAAGAAAGATCTTTGACTCCTTCATTGTCGGCAGCAGGAGCAGCCAGGGCCCGGCCCGCAGCAGCCACTCTGGGCCCCTACACATTGACAGCATGCGCATGCTTCTTGCACAGTGGTTTGTCTTTCTTGGAGTAGAATGGCTGCCCCTCCAGATTCACATGGCAGACCTGGGAAGGAAGACAGAGCCGTGTGAGATGGGATCTTGAAGCAGAGAAGATGTGAGCAAAAGATTTCAGACTAGCATAACATGGCAGACATGCTCCTAATCCCAGCTCTTGGGAGGCTGATGCAGAAGGGTTCTGAGTTCAAGAACTAAATTGGGCTATATAGGGAGATCCTATGGGGGAAAAGGTCACCCTTTTAGGGACTGGAGAGATGGCTTATTGGTTATAGACACTAGCTGTTCTTCTGAAGGTCCTGAGTTCAATTCCCAGCATCCACATGGTGGCTCACAACCATCTGTAATAGGATCTGATGATCTCTTCTGGCGTGCTGGTGTACCTGCATAGTACTCATACATAAAATATAAATAAATAAAAATTTTAAAAAAATCACCCTTTCAGAAAAATGCACTGTTGCACCTAACTAGGAGAACAAACAGCCTGTTTTTCTCCACCCTGCTACAAAGCCTTAATGACTGAATAGAATATGTAGGTTGATCCATATAACATGAAGACTTCCAGGGGGTTGAGGAAGGAGCCAGTTGCTTGACCATCATGCATGAAGCCCTGGCTTTGATCCCCAGAACCACACGAGCCAGGCTTAATGAGCTTGCCTAAAATCCTAATGCTAAGGATGTGGTAGAGAAGGGTCCAAAGTTCAAGGGCATTTTAGCTGCTCGGAACTCTGTCTTTAAACATAAATAAATACCCAAATAAGATAAAGACTTCTGAAAACCATGAACTCAAATTCATTAAATCTAGTGGAATAGAAATTATATGTGATAAAACAAACAAAAAAGGTCTAATTCATGTTATCCTGAGGGGAGCCGATGAAGTCCTGAGTCAATGTATATTGCTGATATGAGCAGAGACGAGTAAAGGGCTCCAATGGCTCAGACCAATAGGAATAGCAAAGACTTCTCCTGAACAGGCTCAGGGAAATGACAAAGCGTTCCCCTGGTCTGTCTGCAGATGTTGGCTGTGGTGGTTTAAATGAAAATGGCCCTGTAGGCCCATAGGGAGTGACCTCATTAGGAGGTGTGGCCTTGATGGAGTAGGTGTAGCCTTGTTGGAGGAAGTGGGGGGGGGGGCGAGGGTGGGAGTGGGGATGGGGGGGGTTGGGGGTTGAGGTTTTAGATGCTCAAGCCAGGCTCAGAGGCTCCTTCTCTTTTCCTGGTGCCTGCTGATCCAGATGAAAAGCTCTCAGCTACCTCTTCAGCATCTTGTCTGCCTGTGTGCTGCCATACTTCCCCCCACAAGGAGACAATTACAGACTGAACTGCTGCCACTCCAATTAAATGTTTTCCTTTATGAGAATGGCGGTGGTCATGGTGTCTCTTCACAGCACTAAAAACCCTAACTAAGATGTTGACCATATGTAGGAAGTGTGGACAACAGCTTCCTTCTCCTGGATGCTATAGCCTGAGGCTGTTCCCCTTAGCTAAACCTGCCTCCTTGTTTATCTGTATGTGATAACCTGGCCTCCCTGTTTCAGATGTATAAAATAAACTCAGTGTCCAAGATGCTGCTGGAGCCCCTCCATCAGAGAACATGACCCACCCAATCCTAGATTTTCTGTACAAGAGAGAGAGAGAGAGAGACAGAGAGAAAGACAGAGACAGAGAGAGAGAGAGCGCGCGCCACCGTAACAACAGAAACAAAGACTAGAATTTTGTAACTAGCCAGGGAATGAAAAGATGGGTAGCAATCAGAGGTAGGAGAGAGTGTGGCTGTCTGTTAGTACTTTGAGTTTTGATTTCTGTCCTGCTGAACTATGAGAGGATATATTTCCTTTTTTTTTTTGTTTGTTTTTTGTTTTTTTGAGACAGGGTTTCTCTGTGTAGCTTTGGAGCCTGTCCTGGCACTAGCTCTTGTAAATCAGGCTGGCCTCGAACTCAGCCTGCTTCTGCCTCCTGAGTACTGAGATTCAAGGCGTGCGCCACCAACGCCCAACTGAGAGGATATATTTCTGCAGTGTCTGGTATTATACCCTAGGAAACTAATACACATTGAACATAATGTACCCCATAAATAGTGGAGGCAAAGGAGTAAAGTACAGAATTCAAAATATATGGCAGTAAACTTGATGACTATTGTTCTCCATCCTAAATTCATAAAAGATTATTCAGGCTTAAACAGCACAAATATCTATCTATCTATCTATCTATCTATCTATCTATCTATCTATAGACAGGGCTTCCTATATCCAAAGTTGGCCTTAACTTCACTGTGTTACAAGGTTAACTTTGAACTTCTGGTCCTCCTGCCTCCATCTCCCAAGTGCTGAGATTATATGTGTATGCTACCATAGTTGGTTTATATGAAGCTTGAGATTGAACCCAGGGCTTCACTCTACCAACTGAACTATATCCCCAGCCCCTAAACAGCACAGTTATATCATACATACTCCAAATTCACCTTGAGAAACTCTGGTTCTTAAAATACCAATAGTTTATCCATTTTCCTAAATAAAGTTCAGACAGTTAGACTGACAATATAGAGATTTATTAGGGATGAGCATTTCCTGTTTCCAACTCAAGTCCGAGTAGAGGCAGCACAGTTTCACAATCTCATCTCAGCTGAAAGCCCTGTACAGGGAAGGCCAGTCTCTTAGACAGATGCCCTGCTGATTCAGCTCACTGCACACAGTTAATCGTTAATCTCAGGCTTATCTGCTGGCCGCTGTCTATCAAGAACAGGACCACTTAGGAAAGGAAAGTGATACTCATCCTGCTTTCTAAAGGTCCGACCAAGAGAAACCTTATCTCAGCCTTTCAGAGACGTAGTCAATAAGCTGAGGACTGGGGTTCATGGTAAAGCCTTCATACCGCTTCATAACCAAGGTAGCACAGAACCTGGGGAAGCCACTGCTTCTTTAGGCCATCGTTTGCTGCCCTCACTTATGCTGGTAAGACAACAAACTGGTTCTCCAAATCCTAGGGTACTTTGCTGCTACTGCTCTGTAAATAATCCAAGGTAATGCAGATTCCTTAAACATTTATCTATTTGTGTATTTTACCTATAAGTGCTCTATCTGTATGTACACCTGCATGACAGAAGAAGACATCAGATCCCATTATAGATGTCAGATACCATGTGGTTTTGGGGACTTGAATTTAAGACCTCTGGAAGAGCAGTCAGTGCTTTCAACCACTGAGCCATTTCTCCAGTCTGTAACACAGCTTTCTCTAACTGTGACATATCAAGACAGGGCACTGGCAACCTTTAAGTACCATTATGGTACCAGAATGTCACAGCTGTATCTTTGCATGTCAAGGGGTTGGCCAACCAGACTGTACTTTGTCCCTTCTACCCGCTGCAGGCTAGAAACGTACCGCACAGATGAAGCAGGTGTCATGCCAGGTGTGCCCCAGGGCTTCGATAAACTTGTCGCCAGCTTCCACAGGAAAGTCACATCCATGGCACTTGGTGCTGAACAGATTGATGTAGTCTGAAATAAACGTTAAAGTGAGGCAGGCCCGAAGAACAGTTGGCAACATGGACCCCAGACCAGGACAGCCCCACGTCAGTGAGCTGGGGGAGTGGGCTTTGACATCTCACATAATACTCCTTATATGATTGATTTTATTTTTCACTCTTTTGGTAATTTGTGCCAATGTTGCATTGGCTCAGACTTGGATTTAATAACCACCTCGTGCTGGTCTTGTCTGGAATTGTCATGAACTTCCTTGGGAGTGATTGCTTCTTTTCTCTCTCTCTCGCTCCTCTGATAGCCCAAACAGCTCAATCCCCAAAAGGAAATTAAAAATCAATATTCCAAAAATAAATAAATAAAAATAAAAATCAATATTCCTCATTGCTCAGCCACTGGGCTTATTTTGGAAGAATGAGGGTCTTTTTTTTTCTTCCAGATTTTATTTTATTTTTAGTTTTGTGTGTATACAGGAGTCCAGGTGTCTACAGAGTTCAAAAAACATTGTTGGATTCTATTGAGCTGGAGTTACATGCTTTTCAAGCAACCACGTGAGTGGTAGGAACAACGTGGACACTCTGAGCAGTAATGTGCTCTTTTCTTCCGTCTCTTGTTTTTTTTTTTGTTTCTCTCTCCCATCGCCTGGTTTTTTCCTCTCCTTTTGGCCCCTCTACCTTCCACATTGGATGACATAAAAAGGCCCTTAGTAGGTGTGGCCCTTGATGATGGACTTCCCAGCCTTCAGAAGCGGAAGGCAAATGCCTTTCTGTTTGCTGTAAATCCCCCTGCCTCAGACATTTGATTACACTAAACAAGATGGACGAAGACAGATGGCATTCCTTACAAGAACCTTAACATCAAGAATCATGCCTTACTTTTCTTTGTACTTCCGACACAACACCTAGTCAATGGTCAGTATTCAACAGAGCCATAAACCAGCACATCAATGAATTTACCGAATAACAAATAAATCAGTAAATGAATGAATGAATCTGATCTTCACAATGTCTCTCAGAGACAGACTTTTTTAAATTTTTGGTCTTATTTTGTGGATGAAGAAATTGAGACTCAAAGAAATAACGACCAGAGTCTGACACTTGAGGCCTCATAAAGTCTTATGCTCCTTTCTCAGAGCATAGCAATTCTACCATACTACTGTAGACATTTTTTAGATTTTTCTAGAAGAGTTCAAATCCCTTTAAAAACTTCATTTCTCCCTGCATTCCCCGGCTCCCCAAATGTATTTGTCTCTCCACAGCTCCACCACGGTTAGCCTCTTCCTGGGTTCTGTTCATCTCCTGGATGGTATGTCTATTCATTGTCTTAGACCACACACTGAGAGGAAGTATGCCATCAGGGTTATAAACATGAAGTATGAAAAAAGAAAAAGCTAGTTCAAAGTCCAGTTCTATTAAGGAATTCGTTAAACCTGGGACAGCTTCTCAGGACTGTAGCCTTCCCAACTATAAAACTATAGCACCAAACTCATGGGATTATTACTATTGGCCAGATTAAGAAATGTATGAAGTATTTGGCATAAACATTAACTGTTGGTTCTTATTTTAGAAGACTTCATAAATGGTTAAAGGAGGAAGAGGACCTGTTTATCATTCATATTTCCGTCTATCATCCTTGAATGTCCATCACGTTAATGGCTTTGCTTAAAATTCCTTGTAATATTTATTTATTTTATGTATAATGATGTTTTGTTTGTATGTACATCTATACACCAGGAGAGGGCATTGAATCCCAAACACAGCTGTGAACAACCATATGAGTGCTGGAAATTGAACTCAGGACCTCTGGAAGAGCAGCCAGTGCTCTTAATCACTGAGCCATCTCTCCAGCCCAAGATTTTTAAAAATTCATTATTACTATTATTAGTGTGCATGATTTGTGCCATGGAGTACGTGTGCAGGTCGGAAGACAACTCTGTGAGGTTGGTTCTCTCCTACTTTATGTGGATTACAGGAATAAAATTCAGGCAGCCAAGCTTTCCTAGTAAGCACCTTTTCCCACTGAGCCATTTTGCTGGCCCTTGGTTAAGGTTTTTGAGCATAGAGATCTCACAGAAACGGATATAGACTACACAGTCAATATATAGCATGTTTTATGGTTAAAAGATGAACAGAAAAAAAAAACCAAAAAGCAAAAAATGGTTCAACTAGCCTTATTAAGTAGTAATTCCTTCTCTTGTTTTTTTTTCACAAATTTTCTCTCTTTTCTTTTTTTGTTTGCTTTTTTTTTTTTTTTTTTTTTGAGTCAGGGTTTCTCTGTGTAGTAGTCCTGGTTGTCCTGGAACTAGCTCTTGTAGACCAGGCTGGCCTTGAACTCACAGATATCTGCCTGCCTCTGCCTCCCGAGTGCTGGGACTAAAGGTGTGCGTCACCACTGCACAGTCACAAATTTGTTCTTCAAACAGTTTGAATTCACTTCTGGAAGTTTGAGTCATGCTTACTGATTGATTTTTCTATTTCAAAGTTGATTTTGTGTGGCCTGGAAGCTTTAAAAATTGATAGTACAGATACGAGTAATACTATTTTTTTGAATATTGGCATTTTCCTCATTTATTCTACAAAATGAGGTTATCTCTATAATTGGCCTCCTTGTTTTTCCTCATCCAATTTTCTGGTGCTGCTGTCTCAGCCCCTTATCTGTCTGGACTCTTCCAGAAGGAGCAGCCTTCGAAGGAAGGACGGGACGGAAAGGCCAGCTAGCCGGGATGCCTGTGACTCCGGAAGTCACCACAGTTCCTCACATGTTACAATAACATATTACACTGCAAGGTGCAGAGAGATTGGAGGAAGCCTGAAAAACACCGCAGGCAGGGAGGGAAGGGAGTTCGGCATTCCACACCTCGGCCCCTCCCTGCTTCCGTCCCCACAGCAACTCCACAGGGCAGCTGTTACAGTCTCTCAGAGAAGTTGACCAGCTTTCCTCAGGGTTGCAAAGCTGTCCCAGGGTGGAGTCAGGAACAGAAACTAAAACGACTAGAGCCAAGGCCCCTCTTCAGACTACCTGGGTTTCCAAGTCAACATAGCCTGAAAGGTCTCTCAAGGTTTAGGGAAGCAATGTGGGATTCAGATATTAGAAACAAGGAAGGGGAGCAGAGGCTGGTGTATAAAATACATTGTAACTCCAACTCCTTTTCTCCAAAAGCTGAAACCAAATGAGCAGGGGAAGGAGTATAAAGTATAAATAGCTCATTATAATAGCTTCATTCAGCCATTAAAAACAAAATCAGGACCTTGTGTGAGACCCTGAGTTTGATCCCCAGTACCACACATGAAGCAAAATGCACAAGACCCCTCTTCCCCTTGACAGAGGCAGGACTTAGCTTCCTATGCCCGCCTGTCAACCCAGGTGGGAAATGGCACAGCGTCTTCCAGCATGGTTTCATGCTGATCCTCTCTACATCGTATCTCCCGTGCCTACCTTTCTCACAGTACGGCTCTCCATCCTCCATGTGGAAGAGGCTGTTTCCAAAAGGTTTCTTGCAGGCTGCGCAGACGAAGCAGGTAGTGTGCCATGTCTGCCTCAGAGCGCGCATCACTTCCTGGAGGGGAAAATCTCGGTTCAGGACAGAACATTTCCCAGGGCTGCTGTCCAAGTCGCCTAGGGAACGGAGCAACGGGGGGCTCAAAAAGCAGGTGCCGGGAAGGCAGGGGAGGGTGGAGAAGGGAGGTCCGGCTTATTAGGGCCACTTTGCCAAAAGGGTACTGAGAGTCGGGGCCACAGGCAGATGACAGGCCAGGCTGCGAAGCGGGAACCTGCTTTGAGGTGCCCCGGCACCATTTGAACCTGGTGGCACATGTGTATAGCATTGCTGGCCCAACTTAATTAGTTCCCTGGTTTAGGAGTTAGTGGCAAACCGATTCCATTCTGCGATGAAAATGGAGTTGCGTTCTCTGTTATCATCAGCTTGTTGAGAGTGTTTCTAGCGGGACCCGAAAATCTTAGGGGAAGGGAGGAAGCCAGCCCAGTTGAAGAAAAGACAAGGGCCCACTTACCCCCATGATCTTGGTGTTGCACTTGGCACACAGTGGGGCAAAAAACTGCTCGTAGCACCGTTCACAGTAAACGTTGTTCTGCTCCTCCACGAAGCACACATCTGCTAGGGAGTTCTTGCAGTAGGCACAGTTGAACTCTTCTGGGTGCCAAGAGCGGCCCATGGCTACCAGAAAAGGGCCCCTGGCATGGCAGACAGCAGTATTTTAAAATGAGCCCCGGAAATTAGAGCCAGATATTTTAAGAACCCCAACACTATTCATACATTTACTTAGTAATGCTTGCTTTAAGGATTGTTCTAACGAAATACCACATAATTCTGAGAAAGTTCCATGCAGAAAGACATCTATTGTCATGTCAGTAACACAATAAACAGAACCAGAAGATGGGACACGGGGGTGCATACCAGCACATGGCAGGCAGAGTTCAGGGCCAGTCTGGTCTACATAGTAAGCTCCAGGCTAGACAGGACTACACAGAGAGACCCTGTCATAATGGAACACACAATCCAACACCTAACAAAGAGAACCTGGAAGCAATTCAAATGTCTCCCACTGAGGACCGAGTAAACACACCACCGGGTTCAGGTCATCAAAGGTTATTCTGAGAGCAATGGCAATGGTGGCTAACCTTTATTAAACTACTGTGTGCTAGAGTATCTTCAAGAATGATCTTACATTTGTTAATATAGCTAACCCTCATAACAGTTTTATGAAGAAGGAAGGCCGGATTATCAGTATAGAAAATTGTGTTGGGGAAAGTCAAGGAACTCGTTCAAGGTCACAGGAAGCAGTAGATGATAAACCTGATGGCTCTGGTTCAGATTAGTATTCAGAACACTGGAACTAGCAGAAAATCTCAGGTTCTAACTTTTTCAGTTTCGTGTTTTCTAGTTCTTCTATGTTCATTTTGTTTTTGTTTTGGGAACAGGATCTCACTTTCTAGCCCTGGCTGGCCTGGAACTAGCTTTTAGAAGAGCCTGGCTTTGAGCTTACAGAGATATGCCTGCTTATGCCTCCCTAGTGCTGGGGACCAAAGGTGTGTGCCACCACCATGCCTGGCCTCTGCTTTTGTTTTTTTTAAAGGGTATGTTTTTCACATATGGAGGCATATACCACACATATACACAGACGTACTGTATTTAACAAGCATGGTCGGAGACCCCTGACTTCTTTTTTCTCTTTTTAATAAATTTTTGTTTCCTTGTTTTGTTTTTCCGAAACAGGGTTTATCTGTGTATCTCTGACTATCCTGGAACTCACTCTGTAGACCAGGCTGTTCTCGAACTCATGACTTTTAAGGGAAATTACTTGCTTTAATTTCAGTGAAGTGTCTATCAGAGCCCTAAGAGGTATGGACCTGTTTGTGGAAAGATCCAGAAGCAACCCTATAGGAAAGCTGGGTTAAAACCAGCACTGTCATCCAACTTGCAATGTGCTCAATAAACCTGACAATAAGTCTGGAGATTCCCAGAACCCAGCCTTAGCCCAAGGGAGAGCTCCTGGCACCAAGCACCACGCTGGGAGCTTCACCACTTACCTCATGGAATCTTCCCAATTCCCCAGGGATGTGGGTGTCACACAGGTATGGAAGCTAAAGCTCATAGAGGTGAGCCAGAGAGACCTGAGGCTTCCCCATGAGGCTGATCTTTCACCTATATCTGCCCTCCTGTCTGTCACCCCTCCCGTCTGTCCACCCCTGCCTGTACCTGATTACATTGTTGCAGTGCCCACAGAGGGGAGTCCGGCTGCTTGCTGGGAAGCGTTCAGCTCTCTGGAACAGGCCCCTGGCAAGAGGGGTCACCTGTGGACCTGTTGGGTTGTAGCCTGGAGCCCCCCGGGGCAGGGTCTGCTTGCTGACAGAAGTGGTGCTCTTTCCAGGAGCAAACTTCTGAGAGAAGCTGTCGTCAGTCACCCAGGGTGGGCGGCTGGCAGACTCTGCAGGGCCCCCGCTGTAGGCTGCTGAGGGAGCAGGGCTATAGTTTGGGGCAGGGGAAGGGGTATAAGCTGGTGCAGGGGAAGGGGAATAGGTGGGAGCAGGTGAGGGGGTATAAGCGGGAGCAGGTGAGGGGGTATAGGGAGCTGAACTGTAATTGGCTCCTGGGGATGGGCTGTAGGTAGATGCAGGCACTGCAAGCCAAAAACACACAAAGAATATGTGTTAGGAACTCATTCTCCCTCCTCTGTCACCCCAGTCAGAGAACCATAAAAGACAAGCTTAACATTGGGACAGTATAACTCCAATTTTTAAAGGAAGAGGTGTGTGTGTGTGTGTGTGTGTGTGTGTGTGTTGTGGAAGGCAACCAGGGACTTAAGTACACTAAGCAAATGCAGTACCACTAAGCTACTTCTTAGTGAATCAGATTTTAATTCTCAGCAAGAGCCCAGATAACCAAGGGTGGCAGCAGAGCCCTGGGGAGCTTGCCCAGACCCCAGAAGGGATGTAGCTATAAATACTGTGACTGTTCAGGGTGGGGTTCTGCCAAGCCTTGGCTGCCTTGCTCCTATAAAAAATGGGGAGCACTGGGTGGTGGTGGCGCATGCCATTATCCCAGCAGAGACAGGTGGGTCTCTGTGAGTTCGAGGCCAGTCTGGTCTATAAGAGCTAGTTCCAGGACAGCTAAGATTGTTACACAGAGAAACACTGTCTCAAAAAACAAAAACCAACCAACCAAACAGGGAGTGTCTGGATCAGGAAGTGGATAAGAGAAGGTGAACACAGCCTAAAGTGGAGGATGCTCTCAGGATGACTTCACCAGGATGGTGGTCTGACTCCCAGACATCCCATCAGATTGTATTTGCTTTACTTGCAATTTTTCTAGTCCTCAAGACAGAACAGATGCCCAGGAAGCTGTGTTCTCAGGTTCATGTTTCAAGTTTAGCTACTATTGCTGTCTTGAAAACACAATCTGACTTAGTTTGTGCTGGGAGGCAATTCTGTCTTGATTTGATAGGTCCCCACCTAACTTAGTCGCTTGGTGAGCCTAGGCAGAGGTGTGAGCACCATGCAGCCCAGGGCTAGCTGTTCAGTTGGTCCTTGACTGATCCCTGCTCTCCTACATCACCTTGTACAAACTGAGAGTGTACGTGACACCCTAGAGGTTCCCATTAGGGACAAGAATGCACTGCATTTCCCTGAAACCTGTTTGCCTTCACTGGGGGTGGAGAAACTGAGTTCATCACACAGATAGAGCATTGTAGTTGTTAACATTCTTTGCCAAGGGCTCTCACAACCCGAGATTTTTCTGTGGAGATCCCCACAGAAACAGCTGAAGAGATCTGGCTGTGTCCTGACCATGTCCTGAGCCCACGGTCAGCCAGTCCTCTGACTATAGCAAAGATGGTTCTAGAAACCTCACCTCTACTCCCTGCCTGTTAGGGACAGAGCACCATCTTACCCAGCAGGGAACGTATATCATGGTAGCCTCCCTGCCCACATCTAAGCCAGGCCTGGGTGGGATGGATAGTATTGAAGCAGCCCTCTCTGGGTTATAGCTGGTCTCAGAACCATGGCCCTGTCTGGTCTCTTTTTTCCACCTTGTGCCCTGAGCCCTCTTGGATGACTCCAACTCTGTGCCTATGGTTCCCAGATGACTGGTACTTCAGAATTGGGAAGTGCAGAGCCCCCGTGCTTCCCTTGGCTAGGGCTGTGACTATGGTGATAGCCAGTGTATAAAGCCTTCCACAGCCCTGCCCTAGAGTGATACTGGTTCCCAAAGATAGATTCTCCAGCTGGAACCTTCCTCCCACTTAGGATGTGGGTGAGGCACATAGCAGGTCGGTCAACTGAGTCATATTCTTCATTATTCCCTTTTACACTCGAGGGCACGAGAGCTCAGAGCAAGCAGCAGAACAAGACTATAAACCTTCCTAAACTCCATGCTGCCTCTACAAAGAACACAAATCCAATTTCCACTGAGGTACAACATTGTGTAAAAGTCACTTTTAACACCCAGAGGAGACTCCGTGCTCTGCCAGGAAGCAGACCTGTCAAACACCCTAGTTTGAGGCTTGGGACTCAGTGGTTAGCGCTTGCCTAGCATTTTTGAGACTCTGGGCTCCATCCCAAGCACCCTGGTTTCACACTCGACTTCTAAGACTTTCTAGCTGCTATCCTTGGGTTAATTAACCTCTCCAAGCCCGGGCCCGTTTCTTCATCTGAAAATGGTATCGGAATTATTGTGAGGATTAGGAAAATAAGAAATATAGTGCTTAATTTAGTGCCTGATACAGCTGTGTGTGTGTGTGTGTGTGAAGAGAGAGAGAGAGAGAGGAAGAGAGAGAGAGAGAGAGAGAGAGACTAATTGTGGATGAGAATGGTAGGGACAGTAGCATCTGGACTTCAGGTTGGAATGTACTATCAGGCTCATCTCAAAGCCCCAGCAAGTATGCTGGAGGGTGGCAGTGGGGAGGAGGGGTCTGATTCTCTGAAGTCATATTGGTGTGTGTCCTGTCTACTACCTCAGGCAGTGTGGTGGGAAGCTACAGAAATGCACTTCGTAAAGTTGAAGTCCCAAATTCAAGGTTTTGTTACTTCAACAATTTCACCTTGCTTCCTGGTGTCCCGAGGGTCTCCAAATGCTAGGAACAAAGGTCACTTGAGGGGTACTGTTGGAGTACTGAGAGGGAGCGATCCCACAAAACCTCAGAGCAGCATCACCCTCTTTTGCACACTTTGCACGCCTGTGGAAATTATGTCTTCCTTTCTCTTTGCTTTGCATTTCATTTTTTCTACCCTTCTTTTCCTTCTTCCTCATTTTAACCACATAAACCTCATATAAACCTCTGCTAAAAGTTACAAGCTGGTGGTGGCGCATGCCTTTAACCCCAGTACTCAGGGAGGCAAGGGTAGGTGGATCTCTGTGAGTTTGAGGCCACTCTGGTCTATAAAGTTAGTTCCAGGGTTTCTCTGTGTAGTCCTAGTAGTCCTGGAATTTACTCTATAGACCAAGCTAGCCTAGAACTCAGAGATCCACCTGTCTCTGCCTCCCAAGTGCTGGGATTAAAGGCATGGACCATCACATCCAGCCAAGCCGTTTGTATACTTTTTATATTTAGCCCAGGCTATCCTGGAACTTACTATGTTCAATGATCCTTGTACCCTTGTGCCTCAACCTCATGAGTGCTATTACAAGCTTGTGATTCACACCTGGCTCTAAAAGAGACTAGGAGCAAAAACCCTGTGAAGTCCAAACCATGGCCTTATGTGGTCACCTAAAATGTTCTTATTGAATGTAGATTGAGATATACTATTAAGTGTAAAAATTTGAAGACTTAATAAAAGAATATAAATTATCTCAGTAATAATCATCTTATGTTGATTGTATGTTTAAAACTGTTTATTTGTTGAATGCGTGCAGATGCATGCCTGTGTATGTACCACTTGTTTGATACCTGGGGAAGTCAACAGAGGGTGCAGATCCTCTGGAATTGGAGTTACAGCTGGTTGTAGGTCCTATGGAAGAGCAGTTGGTGCTCTTGGTCACTGGTCCACCTCTTTATCTGCTTATTTTTTTGAGCCAGATCTCGCTATGTTACCCAGACTGAACTCAAGTGACCTTCCTGCCTCAACTTCCCAAAGACCAGTACATTGTCCAGCTCTAAAACACTTTTAATATACTGAGTTACATCTGGAAAGAGGTTCAGAGATTAAGAGCATCTACTACTCTTGTAGAAGACTGGCGTTGGGTTCCCAGCACTCACTCAGGTCTTACAGTTCTTTACCTCAAATTCAAGCTTCAGGGGATTTCATGCCCTCTTCAGGCCTGTGTAGGCACCTGCACTCAAGCGTATATACCTACACAGACATATATACAATGAGAAGAGGAGAGGGGAGGCTCAAGAAATGGCTCTGGAGAAAGGCTCAGCAGTTAAGAGCACTGGTTGCTCTTCCGGAGGACCTGGTTTAAATTCATAGCATCCACATCACAACTGTCTGCAACTCCGGTTCCAGGGTATCCAACACACTCACATGCAGGCAAAACACACACACACACACACACACACACACACACACACACCAGGTGTGGTGGTGCACACCTTTAATCTCAGCAGTAGGGAGGCAGAGGCAGGTAGATCATTGAGTTCTAGGCCAGCCTGGTCTACAGAGTGAGTACCAGAACAGTCAGGGCTTTAAAAAAAAAAAAAAACTGTCTCGAAAAACCCCCCAAAACTAACAAAAAAAAATTCCCTGAAAATTGTATGTGCTGAGCTAAATAAAAGATATTTAAATCAATTTCACCCGCCTTCTTTTACTTTTTAAAAACGTAAAAATGTGTTCCTCTTGGAGGTTGCCCTCTTTTAAACAGTGGCTGCCAAGCATTGTTGGCTTCCACAGTGATGTACAGAATTTTGTGTAATAGAAGGCAGAATACTTGCGAGTCAACTTTACAGACAACTCGGAGAGCTTAAGTGGCCGCTCAAGGCTAGCTAGCTAGCTTGCAAGCTTCATACCAGAAACGCACACCAATCGGCTCCAGATCTCTCTAAACCACTCCGAATGCAGAAGCAGGCTTCGGCGAAAACAGGCTTCAGCACGCCCCTTCCAAATAAACCTGGCCTTCGCCCACCTTACTGCCTCCCCTCCAACCACTCCGTCTGCTGGGCAGACATTCTCTTCCTCCCATCCGAGGCCTTCCAACTCCCTGAACCTCCTTCGTTTTCCAAACCCCAACACAAGGCCTCCGAGAGGGAGGCTGGAATCCGGACCCAGTTTAGCTTTCTCCTTCCCTCTGGGACTAGGCGGGCCAGAGGAGGACTTTGCACTGTGCCCGGCAGATCCCTGGGGAGAGGAGGGGGGAGATACAGGGAGCTCGGTCCCCTGTCCCCCCAGTTCTTGCCTGCCTCACCCCTCCACCTCCCGAATGCCAGAAGAGACCCGATACCCCATCTCGGAGCCCCCGGGCTGTTGCTATTTCTACGTGAAGGAATTAAGCCGGTTCAAATTAGAAGGTGATATTTCATCTCTAATTGGCACGTTCAAAAGGCTCCTATCGCACTCGGCGGCCCCGGGACTGTGTAATTAAACAAGGTGATCTGAGTCACTCCAGCCCGGGCTAGGTCCTCAGAGCGAGCACTCGGGTCGCCGCCCGACCCGCGGGCCAACGTGGTCATCCCCGGGCTCACGGTGTCCTCCGCCCACTGGTCAAGCAGGCCCGGGCCTCAGGTGTTCTGGGCAGCGGACGCCCAACCCCGGCGCCAGAGATAAGATCCCAATGAAACGCCACCCGGCCTCCACAAGCCGGAAGCTGCGGCCGGGGATTGGCCCCGAGTAGGCCGCTAGTGCTCGGTGGTGCCCAGGTCTCCCAAGCCCAGCAAGCGGAGAGGGGCACGGATCCGCACTGTCCCCTGGCAGACTGTCGGTCACCCCCGGAGCCCGTTGGCATCCCGGCCTCCCGGAGAAGGAAGGGTGGAGGCAGGCCTCTCCTCTGCTCCAGGCAGGAATGAGTTAACGTCTGCACCGCCTGGGAACCACGCAGAGGCCCGGGCTCCTGCTCGTCTGGCCCGCCTAGGCCGGAGCTGGAGAAGCAGCTGGAAAGCCGGACCGCCCCCTGGCGGGCCTGCGGAGGACAGGCCAGGGAAGGTGCCGGAAGTGCCTGGCGGTGCTGCCAGGAATGGTCTTCCTTGTGCAGGCCTAACCCTACTCTATCCTCCTTCTGCAAGCTTCTTCCTGCTTTTTCAGTCTGCACGGGGGTGGTTTTTCTGTCTCCTATATAGAAGATTTGTATTGATCCCCTTCCAAAATGCCACTTTGGTCGGTGGAAATGGCCGAGATGGCATCGAGCTAAAGACATTGGTTCATCTGCAGGGACCTCTTCTCCCCTCTCCCCCATCCTACTCAAATGAGAAAGTTCAGGTCTCAGAGGTGAGGTAGGCAGGATGGGTGTTCCTCCCAAGCTAAAATGAGTCTTGTCCATATTCAATTCTTTTTGTAATGAAGGGGACTGATTCTGTCACCTCTGCCCCACTCAGCAAGTGTGCCCTTCCCCAAGCAAGGCCCCCAGGGGAAAACTTTCTGGGGTCTCACGTTCAAACAGGGTATACTTTGGAGGCTAGACTTTGTGCTGTTCTTTACCCCAAAACGACTTGGCCAGCTCATACTTGTAGAACACAAGTCCGTTCTCCTTCTTCATTGAAACGACCCATCTCTTTCCTAAACATGTCTGTTTACCATGAGGTATGTGGAAAAGGGTGTGTGTGGGATGAGCACATGGGGCCAAGGGGAGGGATATTTGGGAAATGACACCTTTCGTTCAATTTTGCTGTGAACTGAAAAGTGTTCTTTAAAGTCTATTAAAAACTGGGTGTGGTGGCCCGTGTTTATAATCCTAGTACTTGGGAGGTTCAGGCAGAGGGATGGACAGCCAGCCTGAGCTATATGAGCCACCCTGCCAACAAACAAACACACAAAACATCTGTTAAAATTTTTATGTGTGCTGGGTGGTGGTGGCTCATGCCTTTAAACCCAGTACTTGGGAGGCAGAGGCAGGTGGATATCTGAGTTTGAGGCCAGCCTGGTCTACAGAGCTAGTTCCAGGATAGCCAGGGCTACATTGAGAGACCCTGTTTCAAAAGCAAAACAAATTATATGTGTATAATGATTTTGAAGAGAGAAAAATATTTGTCTTATAACAGCAAGTGCAAAATTGTTATTGCTTTCTATAATTCAAGGTGACATTAACTATATGCTGAAGGATACTGTTTTACTTTTTTTTTGCAGGAGTTAAAGACAGGGTTTCTCTGTGTAGCCCTAGCTGTCCTGGAACTCACTTTGCAGACCAGGCTGGCTTTGAACTCACAGAGGTTCACTTCCCTCTGCCTCCTGAGTGCTGAGGTTAAAGGCATGCACTACCACCGCCCAGCTATGAAGGTAGAATATTTAAGTGGAAGGTATATACCCACCTAAGATCCTATTTTGTTAACCCATGGAATGAACATCAAGTGATCGTTATAAAAATATTTAAGGCTCATTCCTGTGTGTTCATAGCTTCCAGAGTACAGAAGACAAGCTCATGGCCTTTCTCTGTGACTCTATGATGTGCTCCTCATCAGCCTGCTTGCCTGTGTGCATGTGTGCACGCGTGTGTGTGCGGTGTGTGTGCACGCATGCATGTGTGCGTGTGTGCACGTATGTGCGTGTGTGAGTATGTGTGCTTGCACGTGTCAATGTGAGCGCGCGTGTGCATGTGTGTGCATGCGTGCATGTGTGTGATACAAGGGATGGATCCCAGGGGCCTCACACATGCTAGATACACACTCTATCGTCAAGTTGACATCTCCACCCCCTGTTTATTATTCTATGCCTTTGTTGTTTGTCTCCACATGGCAAGCTCAAGTCAGGCGTATACAAAAGAGAAAATCCACCACAGTCCTGCCCTCCTAAAGTCCAGGGTCAGAACCCAAGAGGAAGAAAGGTGGTGACTAGGCTCAGGGCTTGGATGTCAAGGACCTTCCTCTAGTCTGAAAACAATACCTGCTAGAGTTTGGCTTCTTAGAGCAATGGCTGACGGGAAAGTGGGCCGTGCGCCAGCCTGAGAACTATCTTGGTCTCTGAAGAAGAAAGCTGGCTCTGCCTAGGACCTTAGGAAACATAGGCTACCTCTCAGTTCTGTAGGAACACTCTAGGCATTGACTGGAAGGAGCCACAGAGGCAGGACTGTAACCGACAAGTTCTGCCTTGGTTCCACTATGACTCTACTGCTAAGTCACGTGTGCCCCAGCTATCCTGTGTCACCTGAGGAAAACACAGACTAGACTGGTTGGGCAGCTTGTTCAAAGGACAGTGACACCGGTAAGCCAGCCCAAAGCCTCGGGCATTTTTGTTACAGTTTCTTGTTGTCCAGTTTGAGGTCAACCCAGATACTTAAAGAAACAACTTTATTACTGCCATCCTGCTCTCCTGCCCCCAGCTCTCTTCTCTCTCAACTTAGTCTGGAAACATTCAGTCACAACCTTCCCTTTCCAAAGAGCTAGAGGGCTCCAGCCCTGCCTGGTGTGACCCACAAGTCTTCCAAGGTCAAACCACCCTCCCTAGGATTCTACCCCACAACCAGGGGAGTGGGGAAAGAACTCCCTGTGCTTCTGGGTCTTGGCCTGGAGGCATGACCCTTTGAGCCCCGCCCCCACTTCCCTCTGGCTCTCACCTGGCTGGTAGACCGAAGGCCGAATGCTGGCGGTTGTTACAACCCGGGGCTTGGGTGCAGGGGCAGCTGGACCCTCACTGTAGCTGGTGTGGGCAGAGGGTGCTGGAGAAGTGGCTGTTGCAGGGTTGTACGCAGAGGCCTGTGGCCTGGAACCAAGACAGAAGAGTTATAACAGGAACAGCTCATCGGTCTCTGGTACCTAAAGCCATGCCAGGTTTGTTATCTGATCTCTAGGCAGGACTATGACAGAAACACCCATGGGATGTTTCCAGAGTCTATGAAGAAACCAAAGGGTCTTAGAGGGGCGGAAGCTAGTCCCTAAGGCTAGTGCTGCCACCTTGGGAAAGAGGAAGGGAACGTACCAGCCAGACCCATGGCGAGTGCTTTCTCCACAAAGGGAACTGCAGCAGTAGGACTACAGACCAAGGCAGAGGGAGGAGAGAGGGAGCTGGAGATGGTCACAGCTACTCCCCTTTCTGCGACACCCTGGTCACCTGGTCTCTTCATCTTATTTCTTTATGTTGCTGCTGGTGGAAGCAATTAGTCTCATGGTTTTTTTGAGCAAAATGTTGTGACAGTGTTCACGGGAAGATGTGAGGAGGCCCAGGCAAGTGCCCCAGCAAAACCACACTCTACTTAGACAGCTCTCACCGCTTCCTCCTATTGGCTCAGCCTTTCCCACGTGTGGCTCAGCAAGGAGATAGCACAAAAGTGTCCCAGGTCTTTGCCCTCAGGAAATGCTGAACTTGGCCTCTCTCTTGGGGGAACTGAAGGGTTCAGGAAGTTCCAGAGTCCGGCAGCTTATTTAATCTTGCCTGATGCAGTGTTTCCCGGTCTCACTTGTGTGTGAATCCCTTTTCTTCATTTTGAACTAACGAGAATCTTTCTCTCCTTACATGCTCTATATTCTAAAGGGGACACTTGACCATACCTAGCAAATGGGTCATTGGTGGGGTGCTGGAGAAATGAACCCCTAGAAGTATACCCCCAGTCTTTGGCATCCTGCACGTCTTCCATCTCTTTTTGATCGGCCCACTGAACCTGCTGGGCCACGTTGTAGACCCTTCTTGCCTGGGTCTCTGCTAGGGATAGCCTTGGCACAGAAAGCTGCCGTCAATAACCTGAATGGATCCAAGGAGGTCTGCATACGGTCCCAGCAAGGTAAAGTAACCTCAGAGTCAGCATCCCAGACCTGAGCTATGCATCCTTCCCTTCCCTTTCCTTCCCTTCCCTTCCCTTGCCTTCCCTTCCCTTCCCTTCCCTTCCCTTCCCTTCCCTTCCCACCACATTTATAGTTAAGGCTTCCCCTGCCCTGCTGTGGCTAGATCCCTGTGCTGATGGCAGAGGAGTAAGCACATTAGTGGAGAAGAAGACAGTATGCAAAGGGTGCCCAGCTTCTGTGTGACTGGGTGAGGCTACAGGTCAGTGGGTCAGAGGCAGACTTTCCTACCACTGGGGGATACTTTGCCAGCATCGTGGACTGGCACTGGGAAAGGAAGCTGAAGATGTCTGGAGAAGGTGTACATCCAATGAGCGACCCTAGCGCCAGCTCCTTTGGAGCCCACGTGCAAGGAAGGGAGGCATCTGTGTTTAGAGTGTGCCCTCTGACCCCTTCTAGTGGAGCCCAATGCCCTGTGGGATACTGCTCTGCTCTCTTGATAAGGTAATAAAGAGAAAAAAGTTCACCCTTGTGGGCTGTCCTGAGGCCATCAGCAGTGCGTGGACAGGCCCAGACACGGAAGCCTGGAACGTGGAGCTGGAGTTTGCTCTTCTGTGAGAGGCAGGGTTCATAGGCTTCGCACCCAGCACCTCTCTTTTCCTATGAAAGCTGGAAGCATTCCCCCCTCTCCACAACAGGAACATCTCTCCCCTTTCGTCAGAGTGAAGGAGGTAAGACCTTAGTGAGAGTCTGCATAGGGGGAGGGGAGGCAGTTTGCTTAAGCCTGTCCTAGAAAAATGGTACAGACCACTCTGGCAGCCAGGACCAGGCTCACCCCCAGTGATTGAATTGGGCTGGAGAAAGGCTGGGCTTGGCACCACGTGGGATGCTGGGAAGCTGTTTCAAACTGCACCATGACCCTATACACCCTGACCCGAAGGGGCGTGTTTTCCTTGGGAACTGGGAAATCTAGGTCCTGGCTGAAAACAACTGAGCGATTCCTGGAATCCTGGAAAGATAACTGGGCCAACCAACCCCGCTGCTGTACCAACTGGCCACTCTGGAGTGACTCACCCAGCATCCCTCTTCCTCCCTGCCGCATGCCACCTTCCTTTGGCCTCTGTTTTCGTGTTTTATAAACAAATCTCCCCAGTAATGACCTTAATATTCATGTACGCCTTTAGACCATAGCTGGTGAGGAAACGGGTTCAGAGCTTAACTTACTTTCTCAGGGTTTCAAATGGTAAAGCTCTGCACGGAGGGGAAGGTTTAAATCCCATTGCTATAGGGACCTCCGACGTCAGACTGTTTCCACATCAAGAGAAGAGAGGATGAGGAGGCCGGCAAGTTAGTGGCTGAGCTGTCTGACCTGACTACATCAACGGTCCCACCTCCGAGGAGCCCTCCTTGATTTCTTCCAGCGGTGGATGACTTTCACCTCCCTTTTCTGAGTTCTAAGAACAAAGACTGTGCACAGTGTTCCTTTCCTATGTGTTATTGTGTTCACATGTATATGTACATGAGTGTGTGAGTGTGTGTGTGTGTGTGTGTGTGTGTGTGTGACTTTTATCTGTCACTAGGGATGTTCCCAGGAGGGGGAGGTTGCAGAGCGACAACAAAACCCTCTCATAATCATGGCTCATGTACCCCGAGATATGCATCCTGACTTCACCTTCACGCTCTACACCGAGTAGTATCAGCCTTGGCTTCCTGGGGAAACATCAGGGACCTAACTATTTGAACTTAGCTGCCCACAAAGGTACATCCTTTCTTGCCTCCTTTTCCCAACCTTAGGTCTGGCATCTGTGAACCAGTTACCTGGGACTCTCCACAGGGCTCGAGGCAGGACCTGCAGCAGAGGCAGTGGCAGCATGGGCAGCAGCAGTTGTGGCCAGGGCTGGCGAGGCCGCAATGGGAGAGGCAGCAGCAGGCGGCTGGGCAGAAGCAGGCAGCAGCGGGGTAGTGGCCTGGCTGGTGCACACTGGAGCATGCTCAATAGGGGTGCTGATGAGGTGGGATCAAAAAGACAACAGGTCATGTGGGCCTCAGGTCTGGCGAGGTCCTCTACGTAGTGTGGGGTGGGAGGGGGAGGATGGAAAGTGCCCTCTGTTCTGTATACGGAGCAGGATCCAGGCGTGTGTGAGGGCACGTCCTTCAGGTGCCCAGCAAAAGCTCCTCTCCAATCCCAGGAGGGCATGATCAGACCTCAGGGAGGGGCCTGGCAACATAATCTTGGAGGGATGTTTACCCCTCAGTTTCTGGTACTTCCTGATTTTTCTTTCTCAGCAAACTACAAGGCAGTGGAAAGCACACGAGTTATCAGACAGGTTTTCCTTTTCCTTACTGCTTGGACATTCAGTTGGGGGCATAAATTACATCTATAGCTATAGCCCCCTCCCTCCCAAAGAAGATACTTGAGTGTGAAAGTCATAGGCTGTAGAGCCACAAGAACAGTTTTTAGCCCAGGGCACTGACAGTCCATCTGACTGAAGATGGTCAGAAGTTATCATGGAAAGCAGACCAGAAAGGGGTAATATGGTCAAGAACAGTTGAGGGGTAGAGAAACGTGTGCCCCTTTTCATGACATATTCTGAGGAGGAGAGGCAGGACCTATCGGGAGGCCACTGGTAGACCCTACTGAGCTCACCAGGGAGTCTAGGTCTGCTGCGTGTTCAAGAGTGACATGAACAAATAGAGCTGAAGGCTCTTCTACTGGAAGTCGGGAGACAACCACTCTGCCTGGTGGAGCAGTGTGATCAGGAAGGATGGCCATACCCAGCACCAGGCCATGCCAGGACAGGTAGACCAGATGCCCACATGCCTCCAACTGATACTTGGGTATTTACTGTAAGCCAGACTGTCCTTAGAACTTCTGTAGGAAGATAGATCAGAGTTTGGATCGACAGGATTAGATCTGCTCCCTGAGAATGGGATAGAAAATAAAAATTCATTCATAGGTCTGGGGAGAGGTCTTGATCAGTAAAATGCTCACTGCTTAAACATGAGGATCTGAATTCAGATCCCTAGCATCCATCCAAGGAACACAAAAAGCCAGGTGCAGCAGCCTAAAATTCTAGTACCAAGAAAACAAAGACAAGAGGATCTCTGGGGCTTGCCAGCCAGCTAATCAGTGGGAAACCCTGTCTCACAAACTACAGTAGACTGCAGTTGAGGAAAACACTTGGCACTGACCTCTGGCTTCCAGACACACACAGACATGTGCATGTGTACCCCTTCCTCAAAAATCACTCACTACAACCCCGACCCTCCTACACAAATCATGAGAAAGCAGAGCGATACACACCCTATCCTTTCCTACCTCTCCGCCCCTTTGAAAGTAGTTGGTCGCTAGCACCTGTATTCAGGTGACTCTCCTGCTTTAGCTTCCCTGTTAGTTAGGGACACAGGAAAGTACCACCATACCCAGCTCATTCTCAGATCTTTGATTGACATCTCTCTTTGTCACAGTAGCTGACAAACTAAACTCCCCAGAACCATGTGATTTATTTACTCACGCTATACTGTTTCCACCATTATGCCTTTAATATCTCACAGAAGCCCCCTGACGGGGTAGAGTCAGCCCTATTTAATAAGTGAGTAAATGGAAACAGAATCCATCGTCTCAAGGTTCTGGAACTTAGCCATGAGAACAAAATGACTGAGGGTCAATTTGATTTGAAGCCTTAACCAATATCCCACAGAGGAAGAAACCTCTTCTTGTGGTCAGCCAAGTACACTCTGTTTCTGATGAAAGGCAGATTCTCACTGGACCCAAGTAACATCTCAGCACTTCCCTCTTCAAGTTCCACAGTGCCCGTTTAGCCCATTCTTTCTTTTATCCTTCCAAACTCCCTGAAGATTAGTTTCATAGGTCTCATGTGGAGATGAGGAACCTGGGGTTGAGAGACGTTGTCTCTCTAATGAAACAGCACATAGCTAGGTAGACCAGTTATCCTAGCATTTGGGAGGCTTTGTGAGTCTGAGGCTAGCCTGGGTTACATACAATGAGTTCCAGGAGAACCTGGGCTATATCATGAGACCCTGTCTCAAAACAAACAAGCAGAAAACATCATACACCAGTTTCTAGTTTGTTGAGTTTGAGTATGGTTGGGTCTAATTTCAAATAAGCTTCCTTGTCATGCTGAGCTGTCGATGGACCACACACCGAGTAGCAAATTGTAGCTATCTCTGTCTGTGCCAGATATGAATGCAAGGAAGCCACAAGGTGCTTACCAAAGCATCTCCTAAATTGATCTCCATCCAGGGAGAAAGAAGAAAGTGCAAAACTGAATACAAGGATGAGAGCTAGAGAAACAGCAAAGTTGTGCGCTGGCTACCCCATAGTGAAGAGCATATTCCAATGGGTAAGGATCTACGTACTGCCCAGGACTTTCACAGCTTTGTTGTCAGAGAGGGGGGCCTTGGACAGTGATGTTCTTGACACCTCTGTGAAGCCACTTGCTCATCCTCTGAAACACCTTGTCCCTGAAAGTCATACTGATTACGTGGCTACCTCAGGGAAACTGCTGAGCTGACCTTTGAGGCCTACTCACAGGGTGGCCAAGTATGGGAAGGCTCAGGATGACCCAGACCATTGTGCCCCTCCCTGTACCATCCGACATTTCCAGTGGACCACTGGCAACTGAAGACCCTGTTCAGAATGAGAGTGATGGAAATGTCCAGGTTGGACCGTCTGTCCCCTTTGTTCCATTGTGCTACCAGGCAATAAATTTGGAGTTGGATGTAGACCCCAGGAAAATGCACCATTGACCACGGGGCTGAGACAAAGGTTGCACACATGCATCTGCTACTCTCAGTTCTTGCTGAGAGCATCCTATCTAGGATCGCTCTCTGCAGACAGTCACCAGGGTTTAGAGAGGGGAGAAGAGACATCAAAGTCCATCCTGAAGGATCTTTGGTTCTTGTTCCACGTCAGTTTCTGCATGAAGATCCACGTGTCTCCAGAAATTCCAAAAAGCAGGCGTCAGCAAGCAAGCATTTCAGAGAACTTCCATAACCTTGACTTTAGTCCTAAAGAGAGTGCCCGTAAGATCACCCCGGCCTGGCTTACAATTCCACAGTCGCTTCCTTGTCTTTGTCATACATTCAGATTCCTTTTTCCATTTTTCAAGTTTTGGTGTTGGGATTAGAATTCAGGGCCTTATATCTGCGCTAAGCACACACAATACCCCCAAACCCATAATTCAGTTTAGGCAACTAGTTAAAAAAAAACAAACAAACAAAATAAACTCAGATGGTCTTGGCTGCCTAAGAGAGCATGGCCAGACAGCACTGTGAGCTGCAGCTCCTCTTCCAGCCCGTATTGTCCTCTGTCTGGAGGTATCAAGGTGGGCCCGCTCCTTCAGTCTCCATGGTGGCCCTTGGTGGTGGGAACCGGAGTTCTGCTGACTTTGTGGTTGATGACTAGGGCGTGTCTGGAACAGAGGGGGGTGATACTTGCGGAGGTGTCAGGGTTTGGGGGTTTGTGGTCTCTGGACTCAGGTTGGCGCTGTTGGTGATGGTGATACTACAATTGGTCCTGGTGTGGAAGGGGATTTGCCACGATTAGGATGTCAACGCTGCTTGTGTTAGCTAAGACGCTGAAGTACGACGATTTCCGTTCATTGGATGATGAGAGAATGCCACTCAGGTGTTGATCATAATTTTTTTTTTATGTTGCCATCCCCCTGGTCGACATTCTATCTTTCATCCTGGTACTATAGCACAGGGGAGTTCAGCTATGGCACTTGTAACGAGGCCAGAGCCTCCGCTACACCATGGCCTTTGTGAATCTTGCTATCAGCTGCTTTTGGAATAGTGCCCTGAACCTTTGCCCATTCCACCCTGCCTTCAAAATATGTTCCAAATCTCGTAGCTTGGAACTCTGTATCTGGATCCCAGCTCTTTATGACCGCCTTTGCAGACTATGCGTCCTGGTCAAAATGATGATACTGGGATCTCCTGTCCCTTTCTTTGCCTCAGCATCTCTGTGCCCTCCGAGTAGATGCCAAGCCAGCCCTGTTTATACATACCACACCCCTCAAGACCATGAACACTAACCTCTTCCAGGAAGCCTTATCCTCCAGTTAGAGGTCCCCTCCGTCTGGAGTCCACAATGTCAATGCTGTATTGTGGTTACAGTTACAGAGTCCCTTTCTGAGTCTGTTAGCATTCACTCACAGACACAGGGTGCTGCTAACTGAAGAGAACCTCTGTTTACTCTGAGGGCCCCTAACCTTGAGCCTGGAGAAGCTGAGAGGCACCAGGATGCTAGGAAGCAAGCAAGAACATTTTAGTGTTTTAACTAAGAAGCTCCAAAAGATCACTAACAGTCTCAGGACTGGGGACAAGAGGTTTAGAGTCCAACAACTTGGGGTGATCTCCTGAGGTCCTTCTATTCAATGGATGCCTACTGCCTGGAACCACTATTACCTCTCTATGTCTGGCCACCTCCGACCCTACAACCTCCTCTTGGGCCTTGCAAGTCATCAGTCCAAATATGGGTGAGGGTAGACATCTCTTGTTCTCCCCAAGTGTGTCCCCGGTCACGGCATCAGGCCGTTAGAAGAAGGAAGGGTGGGAGGCTAAGGAAGAACAGGCTAGGAGAGCACCTCAGGGGTGGAGAGGAGTGAACAGCTTCTCTGGCTGGCCATCCCAGGTGAGCTCACCAGAGAGAAAGTGTTTTCAGACAGCAGGGGTGGGAACAGGGTTCCAGCCATCCAGCCTCAGTGGCTGTAGGGCATCCTGAAGGTTGGTCCACTGTATCTCCTTCATTTTCCAAATGCCATTGTCCTTATGTTCTCAGCCTATGATCCCATGTAGCGAGGAACCAGGTTGCTTGCTGGGCAGGTAGTTGAAGTATTGACTTTGAAACAACAAGCCTGCTGGCAGGGGCTAGAACTTTTCATTTGAGGCTGCTCTGATTAGCTTCGCTAAGTGCTCCAGTGTAGCGCAAGGCCACAGGTGGGGCCAAGAGCAAGACCCAGCTGAAGGCTTCCCCCTAC